CATAGTCCGCACCAATATTACCTCATTTCATCAACGTTTTAACACACTAGCACTTCTTCTCTGGCCCCCTTCAGTTCGCTCCACCAGTCATATGGTTATCAATAATCAGTTGTATTACACGCAGACAATCACGTTGCCTTGCCGCCGTATTATCCACTAACTGTTCAATAAATAGGCTAGACTCCATACTGGTGCTGGGCGGAATGTCCTGCGTGCAAGATATGTATTTGTTGAATATATCCGAATTAATGGAACTCGCCGGATTGCTTTGATCACGTTGCACAAGTTTACTCAACGCTTGCGCTGAGCTTAATAATTTATCTTTGTTCTTTTGATAAGCATTGATTTCTTTAAGCTTTGCATAGTCATCACTGGAAATGTCTATAGTGTGTGGCGGTCCAGCTCCCTTGCCACCTGCTTTATTCAGTCGCATTTGATATTTGCGCTCCGAGACGAAGTTCCCCAGCAGATAGCCTGTGAAAGAGCGCAAAATTAAATATAATTTCATTTACTTAATAGTGCAGAAAGTGGATTTTAATAAATGCTCTTATACTCGTACATATGTACATAGACATTGTACGTTAGGGTGGTAAAAAAGGTTAAAGTATTAAAGTATTCTAAATAGAAAAAAGAACACCCGTACTTTTTTCTTTACAAAAGCGTTTTAGAGGTGCCTCAAGGCCCATGAAGTTATCCATGTATTTTGTATGGGCAAAAAACACTTTTTCGTAGAAATTCTTGAAAATCAATATTTTCAATCGGAAAACTCTGTTTCTCTTCAGGAGACTTCAAACAATAATACCCAATGATTTATTTAAAAAATTTTTAATACTAACAATTTTATATGGGTTCTCCATGGTATTTTTTTGGGTTTTTGGAAAACCTACAAAAATTAGTAAACAGTACGAAATGCTTACGTCAACAACTGGGTATTGTTATTAAACATCTTGATTTTAAAAAATTATAAACACCCCCGTTTGTACGAAAAAGTGTTTCTTCTCCATAAAAAAAAAAAACGTGAAAAATTTCGTGGGCTTTGAGGCAGTTTTAAATATTGTTGTTTTTAAACAAAAAAATACTGGTATTATTTTTTTCCATTTAGAAAAATTCTAGCGGATAAGAACTTAACACCTTAAACTTATGCATTTTTGGACCACCCTATTTTACATACATCCCTACCGAGTATGAGCGTCAGGAAGGCGATTGTGAGCACGAGGCTGACGCAAGTACGCTTGGTGACGTACTCGCGGTATTCGCGGGAGCTGTTGGCACGGACTGCTGTCTCATAGCTAAGCACTTGATGCATAGTTGGTGGTTTATAATGTCTAGTTGTAGTTGTTACTGCTGTTTCTGTTGTTGGTTATTCCTTTATAGCTGGCGCTTTTTGTAACATTAAATGTATTTGTTTTGAACTTATATTAAATTTCCAACGAAATTTAGTTCATTTTCCTTTTATTCGTAAAACAATTTCGTTCGAAAAAGGATATTTCTGAAAATAAAAACAAAATCTGCCATTATTTAATTCAACAAAGTTTAATGTATATAATATTATTCAACTAAAGCCTAGATATAAAATAACAGGTTATTCTTGTAGAATAATGAGCTTGCATATACATACATTAAAAACTTCCAGTAATGAGTACCAACATTAAAATGTATTTAAATTGACAGTTGAAGGCTAAAGAGTGTAAAGTGGTATTTTATGTTTAAACTGGACAAATACTTGCAGTTAATGTAGCTATATGAAAGTGTTCATACAGCAAAAGCTTTTCAGAAGCTTTTTGGAGCTTAAAGCTAGTCATTGTAAATTGTTTCAAAACTTTCTTTTTGATCTTCCAACCTCTTGCAGCTGATGTGAGCAAAACATCAAAATAATTAAATGAAAGTGTATTATTAGAGACAGCAATTGCAGGAAATCGAACAAATACTTATAGCCGCTTTTCATTGAAGGTAACTTTTGTGATATATTTACGGCCGATTCCATATAAAAAGCGCCGCTCCGTTTCGTTCAATGTGAACACTGACGAATGCGAAACGTACTTCAGTATAGGAGGTAGAGTCCCATTTCTCTAGAGTCTTCCAGTGGAAGTTCTAAGTAAATTTTAGGCATGTAAACTCTTAGGTATTAGGGTTGGATATAAAAAAGTAGTTTAATAAAATACTCATCCTGAATGGCGGGTGGCATTATTACCAACGGTTATCAAATCTGAAGTGCTTTAGAAATGCAAAATTTTATTGTGCTAAGTTCGTCTGTTATAGATCGTCTGAATTCTCAGACATAGGAACATCGAAATCAACGAAAGAACTGATGAAATGGCGTTGTCCTTCTGGAATAATCTACAACGCAATTGATCTACATTTCCTTGGTTCAGCTAGAAATAGGCGATCAGATATATGGGCTTAAAAAATATCAACACAACTCTGCTATAAATTGATCAAGGACAGAAGTAAAAAGAAAATAATAGTGATTGCAGGGATCTGGCTCTTACGAAACATGCGGCAATTATAAGATTTCCCTATAATAAGTCTTGTAGTAGCTCTGACAGGTGGATAAAAGTGAAGAATCTGATCATAGTTCAACAACTAACTGTGATCTATCAGTACGTAGGAACATTCATCAGATAATCTAGATCACTATGTCCTTAGCTGGTTCGACTAAGAAATCACGGACTTACACAGTTAAGACCCATTACCAAAATACGCTGGTTGTATCCTAGGCATCTACCATTTATGAAGTACTACAACCAACCAAACAACCAA